TGTTAGAGCGATACCTATACATGGTGACGCAAAATTCCACTACACGGTGGTGAAGCTCCACGTCACGATCCTAGATGTGGGGAGCTTAGATGTGGGCTAGGACCCTATAGGCATCCTTGCATTCATAATTATTGCATATACTCTTGTATTGTGATGTTTCTTGTGATTGTTTCTTATGCTTGAAGTGTTAGACTGAGTTATAGATTAAACACTAAGTTATAAAATAGTCAAGAAAGGTTATTCATTAGAATAAGTCCTAATGCATTGGTTGAGTTTATGGATTATAAAGAAAGAATGGCCACTTGAGTTTTATGGATTGAAAATGATAACTTGGAACGATGTTTACTTGAGTTATATGATCGAAAGATGATAACAAAGTGTTAAGATTGAATCCTATTTGGATAATATTGAGTACATGATCAACCCACATGCTTTATGAAAAGTTTGGAGGAAATCACCCATGGCTTAGGCTTACATGGTTAAGTAAAAACAATCTGATACAATGGGTAAGGCACAACTTCCTTGTTTTTCTTAAAGGGTTTTTCATAAATGTTCAACTTGTTCAATGAGCTATTTGTTTATGAAATGTCAATTTTACTATGAAAATGAGACTTGTTTATGACAACTCTAATTTATGAGAAATTTAAAACTCAAAAATGTTTATCTCAAGTTCATGTTTACATAAACTATTTAATTTGTGCATAACCTCTCCCCTTTGCCTTGTCCTCATCCCTATTCACTTACGAAGTCTTTGTAATTGACATATTATTTTCCTCATATATTTTTGTTGCAAATTAGTGATAGCTCATCAGCCACTTGAGTCATGGAGATGTGATCCATTTTCCTTTTTGGTAGGTGTTATATTAGCCTTTTTGAAGCCTAGAGAGTCAGGTTATGTACCGTTTGACGAGTTAGTCTTTATTTATTAATTATGTTATGACATTGTTGGGTGTTGTTCTGATGATGTAGTCATGTTATGGCATTATACTTAGCATTGATGTTACATATGCATATTTATATATGAATTGAACATGATGGCTTAAGAGCCTATGTGAGCACCATAAATGTGCATATGAATGTTATATGTAAGGATACATGGACCCATATTGGATTATGAAGTATATGATTATGAAAATGTTTATGAACACGTTGATGGTGAAATCTATAACGATGCAATTTATGCATGTGTTTGCATGATGATTAATGTTTATGTATAATGACCTTAGGCTTGCTTGGGTCTAGCAAATTATACTTGTTTAGGTTTTTATGTCGATCACAAGCCATCTAGAAAATGAGATGTGATAAAATTGATATCAGAGTAGAGTCGCCTTTTGGGTAAGGCCACCCAAGTAAGGGCTTTAGGCCTAAAATTTGGAGAAACATCATATTTTTATAATAATAATATAATTAATTATATTTAAAATATATAAAGAATAAGATAATTAATAGAATATTTATCTAGTCTGTCATGTCTAATATATATTTATTTTCTCCCACTTCCACATCCCTATTAATTCTAAACTAATTATCTCATTTTTTTATTAAAAATATATAACAATAAAAAATAATTAATAAAATGACATATTTTTTCACTTTTCTAATTATGTACTTAATAAATCTCAATTTTTTATCACTTCTAAATTCCTACAATGCTTTTAATTCTCAACTATTTCTTCTATTTCTAATCAATTAACGGTAACATGTATTTAATGATCTGCAACAATTATTTTTTTCTCATGTATTTTTTCTATTTCCAATCAACTAACCCTAAGATGTATTTAATGATTTCCAATAGTTATTTTATTTCCTATATATAAAACCAATTATCAATTTTTTCAATTTATGATATCCACTTTTGAATTTTTCTTTCCTTATTTATTTATTTTTCCTTTAACTTCAATTTTCTTTCAATAAATACACAAGAAGTCTGTTATGCTATTATCTTCATAAAGCTGTGAGTCTCATTTATGATTTGCAATAAGCATTCAACAATTAGATACTATTGTTCTAATCTTTGTAGAATTTTTTTGCTTTAATTTAGAGTTTATATTATATTATTATACTGTCTTTATTTTATGTGATAGTTAATTTATTTGACTTAGAAATTTTGATTGTTGATTTTATGTTAACCATTTAAAAAATGTAAAATAATTATAAAAGTGAAATATTTTTTATACTTCATAATAAATATTTGAATATGTTAAATCGAAAATAAGAATTTGGTTATTCAAAGCTTAACAAATATTTTTTTTAGTTTCAATAAAAAAGTCTCATTTGAATATTTTGCTTTAGACATTTGAGGTTATTCAGACGCCCTTATATTAGAGCTCTAAGTTGTAGAGTCCTAGGATCACCTTGTTACTTGTCAAGTGGAACATTGAAGTTGTGTGTAAGAATCTTATTTTGGTTTTGTGTACCCAAGCACAAATTGAAAATGGGAGACCCACATATGATTCTTTGTGAGTCTATCTATCCAAGTTAGATTTAAGTGTTATGTTTAGTATTGATACGTGTCATTTGAAATGAGTATTGTATTATGTGATTGCTATTGTTTTGTGATTATACTGCCTAGAACTTGAGCGGTCTCTAGATATGCAGTAGAGTAAGAGATTCTCGCAGATGTTATAACTAGCCTATGTACACCCACTATTAGAGTTTGTGGCATACATGATGGAGCTGGAAACTCATGTTAAATTATTTCTTATAAGGGCATCCTACATCCAAGTTGATACAACATTCAAAATTTTATCTTAAAAAAGAGTAATTGGAGTTTCTAAATTCTTTAAATTCTTTTCTTTGGTTCATAGTTCAAAATTTTGAATTAAAAATTTCATTAAATGATGTTTATAAAACACTGATACAACCAAATTGACATTGAAGCCAGTCGAATACCAGTGAAATCATTTCTTGCATTTAAAGTTTTGGGCTGAAATTGTGAACAGTTTGTCCAAGATTCTATATACCTTAAGAAAAGCCACTGGCACATATTTGTTAAAGCTATGGGCGTAGGTTCACTAATATAATGTCCCATAATTCATTAAGATTTGTTCATTTGTTAAGGTTGAGAATGGATCACAAAGGCATCATTTCCCCTTTCATCTTTCAGTTTGTCTTATTACTTTTTTTTCTTTGAGAGATAATTAATGTTTCTTACATAACACTAACACTGCTGAAATATGCATGACAAATGCCATAAGCATTAACTGTTTTCACAACCGTGCTCAACTTATTTTTTTAAAAAAATTGCTAACTGCCCTTATTTCCTATAAAAAAATACCTTTTTATTATTTTATTTAATTTTTTTGTGTATTAAATTTCAACACAATACTTTGACCCCAAAATCTAACCCCCCCAATATATACCATGTATCATTCATCATTTATTATTTTACAACTACAAATTAATATGTATTTCGCTTTTATTTTAATAATGTCCTCTTAAAATTATGCTGCTAAATGTCTCAATTGGACGCTATCTTTATAAATTTAAATAGCATTATTATATTTTTACCTACACTATATAATATTTCAGTAGCATTTCAAGTTGAGGTGTAAAAAAAAAAAAAGTGAATCAACAGATTGCCAAATGCTAAAAAAAAAAAGAAGAAGCATACTAGAAATTTTTAATTTTTCAAGCAATGAATGCGTTTTTTTAATCTTTCAATCATTTATAAAAGTAAGTGGCATATTTTTTGAGAATAAAGTATGCGGTTTCAAATGTATTCAATGATTTGTTTTGATCATAGACATGCCCAAAAATGGTTCTATCATAGTTTAAATAGCTAATTTTGCATATATGAAGTATGAACCATGAATTATTCTTTAATTGTGCAATTGGTCCGTTAAAACCTATTCATTATTCTTTTGGTATAGATTTGATTATGAGCTAAGTGTACACTGTTTCATAGATGTCACCTCTTTTCCTTAAGATTTGCACTTGAGAATCTAATTTGAAGTTTTAAGTGAAGGTCGAAATTAATGGCATTTTTTATTCTTAGTGTATTTTTAAATTTTATTATTTTCAAGAAAACATGCATGGAATTCTAGTTGTTGTTTTCGAAAAGTATAAAATTATGAATTTTGAATTTTTGTGTGTGTTAATTTACTTTAATTGACATTTTAAGAAGTGTAATCACTAATGTATGGTTTGTAACTTATAAGGTGTGAGTATAAAATTGTGTTAATTATTTTATTTATACGTGTGAGTTAATGTCAAACTAAATTAGTGACCATTGATAACCATGTTTTAATTTATATTTATAGTAAAATAAAATTAAACCAAATATTTATTATTTATATTTAATTTTTTATGACACTAATCTATCAATTTTTTTTTTTATAATTGGTAAGTAGCTAATACCTTTTTCTTTTTTGAGGCAACCTGTAGATTATTGGAGGTTTGATCAATGAAAGAGGCAGTTTTAAAGCACAATGGAGATTTTATTGGATTCCATGAAGTATAAGCTGATCGAATTCAATAAAAGGGATGGATAAATTTGCCAAAAGGAGTTGCAGGGTTTGCTTTTGTTTACCTGCACTTTTGTTGATTGATCATTTTGAAGGTATAAAAGTATAGCATTTCATAAAAAAAAATAATAATAAAAGGAGCTGAACAGCAAATCTAAACTAAAAGTTCCAAAAAGAAACTACGTCTGTTCTAAAAGGCGGTCTCTCACAACATATTTTGATTCAAAACGGAGAAATGGGAAGGAGAGGGACTAGTATTTTAATTGCCGTGGATGTGAATCTTGGCATCAATACTCTAGTTTTTGATTAACTACAAATCGACTACCTTTTGCTCGTGGGCGTTGGGCAGCCGCAGTCAAATGACCCAAGTCCTGCCATTCATTTCAGGGTTGAAAATTATTTCTGCTACTAAAGAACTACTGTTCTCTATTCAAAGATTACGACTCGAAGCAGTTAAAGCTTGACGGAAATAAGGATCAGATTATAGACTTTGAAAGATGGAGTCTTCTTTTCTAACTTCTATTTCAAGCACTAATGCAGTCAAATCACGTTTTACCGTTGTTTACATGTAGGCAACGACCTGAAAGTCTCAATTCTCCAGAATATGGTTGTTACGATTCTGTTCCTTCTTCTAAGCTCAATTTACCAGAAAATGGATGTTACGATTCTGTTTCTTCTTCTAAGTTCCATTTTGTTCACAGCAAGAGCTCAACCAAGAACCACCATCATCAGACCGGGTTCTTCTCTTTCTCCCAATAACAACTCATATTGGCTTTCCGAGTCTGGCCAGTTTGCCTTTGGTTTCTATCCATATGGTAATGGCCTCTCTGTAGGCATCTGGTTTGAAAAAATCCAGCAGAAAACAATCGTCTGGTCACAATCTAATTTCTGATGTATCCGAAACAAATCATACAAGGGGAAAGTTTCAACTCATTATGCAAAGACATGGGAATGTGGCGCAATACCCAGTAGATTCAGTGGAACAGGAACCTGCTTACTGGAGTACAGGCACATCTAATACCGGAGATAATGTGACCCTGAATCTTGATAGTAATGGTCAGATTTACCTTCTGAATTCTATCGCATTGGTTGTGAAAAACATTATCGAGTAGGTTAAGTGTTTCAGGTAATCTTATCTACCGTGCAACAATTGATGCAGATGGAATATTTCGATTGTATTCACATAGTTTCAACCAATCTGGTAATTGGTCAATCGAATGGTCATCCTCTAATAATAGATGCAATCCTAAAGGCTTGCGCGGTGTGAATAGCTACTGCACTTTAATGGATAGGGAACCTGTATGTCAATGTCCTCGTGGTTCTGATTTCATTGACCAGGGCCAGGAGGACCTGGGATGTCAAAAAAATTACAGTGCAGATGCCTGCACTAGAAAGAGTGAACATAGCTTTGATGTTTATGAACTGAGCAGTGTGACCTGGGAAGAGGATCCTTAGCTACTCTCCAAGAGCTATCAAAACATGATTGCAGAGAGGAATGCTTCAGAGATTGTAACTGTGAAGTTGCCTTCTATGGAAGTGTAAGGCAAGTATGCAAAAAGCTGAAGCTCCCGTTAAGATATGGGAGAAGACGATTGGGAGGTAGCATGACAACTTTTGTAAAGATCGGTACTGGGGTTAGGACAATAGTTGGAGGGAAAGGAAAGAAGCGTAGAGTGCGAATGGACATCTTCATTACTGGCATTGGATCTTTGATGCTTGCATTTTCTGTTTTAGCAGCTTCTGGCATTCTTATATACAGGCACTGCATTCAAGAGTCCAGAAGGATTTCGGATCAGAGAGATAGTACATTTGTTGAACAAGTCACTTTGAAATCATTCACATACGAGGAGCTAAAACATGCAACTAATAATTTCACGGATAATTGTGAAAAAAAATCAAAGGATTTATGAACTTAATGAGTTAACTCATTAAACAAAAACAGTGAGTTAATGAAAGCCAACATATGTGAGATTGCAGAAGAATTGCATGAAGTCATACAAAGCCACACACTTTCCATTAAGTAAAAAATATTTATATAAGTACAAGAGAGACAACTATAAAAACTGACACTTTTCAAGCATAGTACTTAGTGACCTATAAGGCCATTAGAAACTACCTCACTAAAAGACAAAACATAAACTGCAAAAATTGAATAAAACTGACATATCACAATATTAAAATAGTAACTGCATAAATTAAAAAAATTATGTGGCCAAGGCACGTGAAAGTGGTCTTCTTCATTTTGAATGTTCTCAAGCTCGACTTGCACCAAAGCTGTCTGGTTCTTCATGTTAAGTATCATTCTTCAACACACCTCTTTGAGGCTTAACTTGAAGAACTCCCAATCTTTCTCGAAATAGCTCGAATTTTTCTTTTCCCAAGCTTTTAGTGACAACAATGCTTGAGATATATATCCCCATTTTTGACAGCATCACGTATAGCATGGTATTTCACTCGTATATGCTTTGTTCTTCCATGATGAGCCGAGTTTTTAGCCATTGTTATATCTGACTGGTTGTCAACAAACAGTGTAGTGGCTCCTTGTTGATTGAAACCCAAGTTTTCAAGGATTTTTCTCAACCATAAAATTTGATTTGTAGCAGATGTAGCTGATATATGTTCAGCCTCAGCAGAGGATTGGGCCACTACCTCTTGCTTTCTTTAGCTCCAATAGAACACTGCACTTCCAAATGAAACACAAAAACCACTTGTACTTCGAGAGTCCTCTAAACTACCTGCCCAATAACTATCACAATGTCCAAGCAACTCATAGCTTTCATTTTTGCAAAACTTAAGTCCAAAGTTTGTTGTTCCCTTCAAGTATCCTAGCATACGCTTGGTTGTAGAGTAGTGTATGGTTGATGGATCTTGCATAAATTTGGACAAAACACTGGTGCCAAACATGATATTTGGTCTTGAAGCGGTGAGGTACAATAAACAGCCAACTAAGCTCTTGTAAGTTGTGCAACAGGCTTTAGAAGCTCCATCTTCCTTACATAGTTTAACTCTTGATGCTAAAGGAGTGGCCACCAGTTTACAATCTTTCACGTGAAACCTTTTAAGTAGCTCCCTTGAATACTTGCTTTGATGAATGAAAATGTAGTCTGGTCCTTGTATAAATTCTAAGTTAAAAAAATATGTCATTTTGCCAAGGCTAGACATTTCAAACTCAGCCATCATCTGTTTCTTGAACTTGTTGAGTTGAGCATTATCTGGCCCTGTAATAAACAATCATCCACATAAAGTGATATGATTAATTGCACAATTGAATTTGAACTTCTAACATATAAAGTGGGTTCATTCATGCTCTTTGTAAATCCTTGTGCAATCCAAAAATTGTCTATGCGTTCATACCAAGCCCAAGGAGCCTGCTTAAGGCCATATAAAGCCTTAATAAGTTTACAAACCTTGCTTTCTAATCCCACTTCAACGAACCCTTCTGACTGTTCAATATATATCACTTCTGAAAGTCTTCCATTGAGAAAGGCAGACTTCATGTCTAGATGCCATATACCCCAATTTTCTTTAACAACCAAGGCTACTAACAATCGTATGGTGTCGTGTCGAGCGATCGGAGCAAACGTCTCCATATAATTGATTCCATACACTTGGGAATATCTTGTCATCACAAGCTTTGCCTTATATTTATTTACTGAGCCATCTGAATTTAATTTGGTTTTATAAACCCACTTTACACCAATAACACTTTGAGCTTCTGACCGATCCACTAAAATCCATGTCTTATTTTTTTTGATCATTTCCATTTCTACGTGCATGGGTTGCACCCATTTTTCATCTTTTGCTGCTTCATGGTATGTGTTTGGCTCAACAATGGCTATGTTGCAACGTTCATAAATCTCCTGCAAGCTCCTTGGACCTCTTATAGCTAAGCTTTCATCTTCTAAGTCTTCCAAGTCTTCTGTCTGCACTTTTTCACTTGAAAAAACATCACCAACCAAATTAGGATTCCATGATCGTTCAACATCACTCTTGTCCTAACTCCACTTGAGTCTCTCATCAAATCTAATGTCCCAACTAACAAAAATTTTCTTGGTCTCAATATTGTACAGCCGATATCCTTTAAACACTTCACCGAATCCCAAGTGAATTGCAATCTGTGATTTTAGATCAAGTTTGCTTCTATTCTCATCAGGTATCTTAGCATAACACACACATCCAAATACTTTCAAACAGGCAACAGAAGGCTTCAACCCGTGCCAGGCTTCATAGGGGCTTTGAGAAGTCAATGCTTTTGTAGGCAAGATATTAAGCAAATACACTGATGCATTTGTTGCCTCTGCCCAAAAACTTTTAGGCAAACCTTTTTCATACAATAAGCATCTGACCATTTCAATAAGAGTTCTGTTTTTTCTTTCACAGACTCCATTTTGTTGGTGGCTGTATGTTACGGTTAGTTGATGTTTCATTCCATTTCTGGCTTAGAAATCTTAAAACTCATCTGATGTAAACTCTGCTCCATTGTCGGTTCTAAGAATTTTTAAAAAGCAATCGGATTCCTTCTCCACTAAAGGTTTGAATTTGACAAATTTACCATAGACCTCAAATTTCCTTTTAAGAAAAAAGATCCACTTATACTTGGTGAAGTCATCAATAAAAAGCAAGTAATACAAATTGCGATTAAGTGAAGCTACCTTCATTGGACCTCCCACATTAGAATGAACTAGCTGTAGTTTGTTGCTAGTTTTTGAGTTGCTAATTTTTGGAAAAGGAGTTCTACTTTGCTTCCCCAATTGACAAGCTTCACATATTTTATCTGGTTGACTAACCTTTGGAAGACCATCAACAATATTTGTTGAGTACATCTGCATGAGTGAACCATAGTTCACATGGCCAAGTCTCTTGTGCTAGAGTTCATTGTCAGAAGCTATGCATTGATATGCTTTATGATCCATCTTTTTGAAGTTGATAGGGAAACATTTGTTTCTCATACCCACGGTTAAGATTTCCTTCCCTCTTAGATCAAATATTATGCAAGATCTGTCTTTGAACCATATGGCATAGTCATCTTCTAATAACTGACCAACACTAAGTAGATTATGACTCACATCTGGTGAAAAGAAAACGTTAGAGATTGTTTTCATACCTGTTGGTGTATAAACTCCTACCTTTCTTATTCCAAAAATCTTTAAGTATTTTCCATTTCCAATCTCCATTTGAGTCTTGAAGTTTCTATTCAAGGTAAGAAAAGTTTCATCATTCCCAGTGACATGGTTTAGCAGCCACTATCAATCAACCAGGTATCCCTTTTCTTCTGAATGTCAAGATTCCTAACCATGAATAAAACTTCTTTTTCAATCTCTTTTTCTTCAACAGCAGCAGCTTTCTCGTCAGACTTGTTCCATTTTGCTTTGTAGACTTTCTCAATGTGCCCCATCTGATTACACGACCTACACCTCACATTTGGTCGAAACCAGTAGAACCTCTCAAAATGGTTATTCTTTTTACAATATAAGCAAGGTGGAAAAATACCTTTTTGTTTCCCTTACTTTCCATCATTGGGTCTTCTATCCCGATTCCTCTTCCCCTGGTCTTGTTTCTTACTACTGGAGTTCTTGTCTTTGTTTCTGACCATAAAAGCCCTTTCTACATTATCTTCATGTCTTATTGCCATTCTTTGCTCTTGGGCCTGTAGGGCGTTTACCAGCTTGGTCACAGTAAGCTGTGACAAATCCTTGAAGTCTTCCAAAGAGGAAATCTTGGCTTCAAATTTCTCTGGAAGGCTCACAAGAACCTTGTTGACTATCCTTCGATCAATCATGTCTTCTCTGAACAGCCTTAACTGGTTCACTAGCTTCATGATTTTTTCAAAATACTCCTTGATGCTTTCATCTTCTTTTATTCTTAGGATTTCAAACTCTCTGTGTAGATTTAAAGCCTACATTTGTCGAGTCTTCTCACTACCATGGAACTCTTCTTTCAAACGATCCCAAGGCTCCTTTGGATTTTTGAAAGTCATGATCTTGGTGAAGATTGAATCAGACACTGCAGAGTGAATGCAAGATAGTACTTTATATCTCTTTGCAACTTATTCATTGTGTTGTTTAATCTGAGCAATTGTTTGGTTCGCATGTCTCATAATTGGAGTGTCACCTTCACCTCCACAAGTTCCTATAAATCAAAGGCACAAAGATATACCTCCATTTTCACAGCTTATATCACGTAGTTGTCACCTGAGAAAGTTAGAGGTGCTGCTGCGCTGAAACTTCCTAAAGCCATAGCAACTAATTTTTTTTGAGTAATTTCACAGAAAGGGTCCCTTAAGATCCTTAGTGCTCTGATACCATGTGAAAGCAAATCAAAAAGTTTATGAACTCAGTGAGTTAACTTATTAAACAAAAACAGTGAGTTAATGAAAGCTAACACTCGTGAGATTAGAGAAGAATTGCATGAAGCCATGCAAAGCCACACACTTTCCATTAAGTAAAAAATATTTATATAAGTACAAAAGAGACAGCTATAAAAACTGACACTTTTTAGGCTTAGTACTTAGTAGCCTACAAGGCCATTAGAAATTACCCCACTAAAAAACAAAACACAAACTGCAAAAACTGAATAAAACTGGCACACCATAATATTAAAATAGTAACTGCATAAATTAAAAGAATCACGTGGCCAAGGCACGTGAAAGTGGTCTTCTTCATTTTGAATGTTCTCAGGCTCGACTTGCACCAAATTTGTCTGGTTCTTCATGTTAAGTATCATTCTTCAACAATAATATTGGAAGAGGATCTTGTGGGGCAGTTATTAAGGGGGTCATATGTAAATGCAGTAGAATTATAGCCATTAAGAGACAAGAAAAAGTGGTGGCTGAAGGGGAGAGAGTATTCATGAATGAAATGAAAACAATTGGGAAAACCCGTCATAAAAATTTAGTTCAATTGCTTGGTTACTGCCATGAAGGATCCAATATGCTTCTAGTATATGAGTACATGAGCAATAGGTCACTTGCAGATTTCTTGTTTAAGTTAAGATTAAAGACAGATTGGGATGAAATAATTGCTATAACACTGAACATCGCTAGAGGAATTCTCTACTTACACCAAGATTGCGAAACTCAGATCATCCACTGCGACATCAAACGTGAAAAGATACTCATGGATGAGAAAGAATGTGCAAAAATTGTAGATTTTGGTTTGGCCAAGCTATTGATGTCCAACCAAACCAAAACTTCTACACGAATTAAAAGAACAAGGGGGTACATTGCCCTTGAATGGTGGTACCAAAACTCACCCATAACTGTGAAGGCAAATGTGTATAGCTTTGGAATAATGTCTTGAGATCATTTGTTGCCGAAGGAGTTTAGACATGAATGCCCTAGAGGATGAAGTAGTTCTCTATGATTGTTTCATCAGCAAAGAATTAGAAAAGCTGGTAAAGAATGAAGAAGTCAAAAAGAATATGCTAGAGAAGATGGTTAAGGTGGGATTATGGTGCATCCAGGATGATCCATCAGTGAGACCATCGATGAATAAGGTTATCCTAATGCTAGAACGGACAGTAGACGTACCAGCCCCTCCTTGTCGTTCGAGTTCCTTTATTGGTTCTGTTAGAAGTTCCTCCACGAGTTCCTCGTAGAGCTTTTATGTTAAATCTATGGTGCCATGCGCACATACCAGGTTAACAGCATTTGCTAAAGATCATCATATGAAAATGATCAGGTGTTAAATTATTTCTTATGAAGACATTTCCCCCCAAATACACTAGGCCTGCATATATTAACAAGTGGCAATTATCATTTAGCCAAGTATATATTTTACGTCCAGTTTGATACAACATTGAAAATTTTATCTTAAAAAAAAAGTAATCGGAGTTTCTGAATTCTTTAAATTTTCTTGTTTGGTTTTAAGTAGTGTAAAATTTTAAGTTAAAAATTTCATTAGATGATATTTATATCACCGATCCAACCAAATTGGCATTGGAACTAGCCGAATACTGGTGAAAACATTTCTTGCATTTAAAGTTTTGGGCTAAAATTTTGAACAATTTCTCCAAGAAAAGCAACTGGCACATATATTTGTTACTTTGCTTTTTTTTTTTTTTAATTTGCAAATGAAATTTTGGAATGTACACATTTAATCAAACACTTAAGAAAAAGGTGCTATTCCTACAACAAAATTAATTTTTTTAAAATTTGGCTGAATATGAAAGAAAAAGTATTTATATTATACCAACTGTAAATACCTCTATATGTGTAGCACGGATAGTGTCCTAATTATATAATATCACAAGCTACATGACCCAACGCATGAGCCTAGTATCTTATGGATTTCTTCCTATTATTGTCAAGCATGCAAATTAAAATTGATTTCATAAAAAAATTGAGATATTATAAATAAATAAATTAGAAGTATTTTATATTAATATAAATTTTAGAGTATACAAGAAGTTTTTTACTTAATTTGTGAATTAAATTGAATTTGAAATTTAGTTTTCAAATTAATATTTTGAATTTTATTTGCATCGTTGTCTTCAATATTAACTCTAAGATAAAAAATAACATTTTAAATTCAATCCTTTTACGGTAATGGAATCATTGTTGTACTCTTTGAGGTGTTTAATTAAATTCATCTATATACTAAGTCATCACAATCTAAAATTTGTCCTTTCGCTACTTCAAAAAAAAAAAATATATATATATATATATATTCTCCAAATTGAAACTTTTATTTAATTAATGTCATAGTTTATGGGTTTACTAAAATTATCTCAAGCGGTACTGTAAACGAAATATTGGATGAAATATTATATAATTATTAATTTTTATCCAAAAATCAACCAAAATAAATTAAAATGAGAAATTTTGACTCGATTTAAATGTATTGAACAAATTTAATATTGAGTTGTGGTCGAATCGGTTTTTACAGAATCTACTTCAACTGTTTCAAATAGGAGAATAGATAGCATCCCTTATTCTGTTTCTGTTAAGAAAAATATGTCCTCATCATCGGCCAGAGGTACCTCTGCGACAAAATCGATATTAGTATAAGTAATGATATAACAGATGCGCATGATATGATTTAACTTAAAGAGAAAACATTAATGAAAAGTAAGGCATTATACATACAGTAGTCAAATAAAAAAAATCATAAAAATAATGAAAACATTAGTTCAAAATTCATAAATACATCACCAATTTTAGTGAAAAAAAATACAAATTTAGTACGTTAATTAGTTCATACATAATTCACCAAAGAGACTATATTGTTAATAAAAGTACTGATTTGTGCAAATAAAACAAAGTTGAAAGAATAAAGAAAACATAAAACGTTAAAAATAAAAATAAAAAAGAATGTACTCTGCTTTTTTATTTTAGCTTTTGGGTTGGTACATTAAAAAAAATTCGTAAAAGAAAAGTAGTAGTGGTTTGGAACAGAAATAGTTCCCCTGACAAGGTACTCTCCTTGCCTGCATACTTTGACTCCCACTTATTTGGGCAATTAGAGTCAAAAGCAGTAGTCCTACCGTTATGTGACGGCGTGCGTTTTGTTGAAAATATGCTTTGCCGTCCTACAATTTTCATTCAAGGATTCTGACTTTGATCAACTTGGCAAGATGGAGTCTTCGTTCTAACTTCCCTTTCACGCCCTGATGCATTCATATTACAGGATGGTTTGCCTTTCGCCAGAAGGAGATACACAGGGATCTGAGAGTTTCTATCAACCAAATATGGCTTTTATGATTCTGTTTCTTCTTCTTCTTTGTCTAAGTTTTATACTTAACACAACAAATGCTCAACCAAGAAATTCCATCATCCGACCAGGTTCTTCTCTTTCACCCAATAACAATTCATATTGGCTATCAGAGTCTGGCCAGTTTGCCTTTGGTTTCTATCGATATGGCAACGGCTTCTCTGTGGGCATCTGGTTTGAAAAAATCCAGCAAAAAACAGTTGTATGGACAGCTAATCGAGATGACCCACCATTTTCTAGAGATGTCACATTGCTTTTGAGCACAGAAGGTAGGCTTATTGTGCAACCAAAGCAAGGCCAAGAGATCCTCATCGCGAGTGCTTCTCAATTAGCATCCTCAGCCTCCATGCTCGACTCTGGTAACTTCGTTCTCTTTAATTCAAGTTCAGCGATCATTTGGCAGACTTTTGACTTCCCGACAGACACCATTTTACCTGGAAAGCGTCTTTTGCCTGGTCAGAGTCTGGTTTCCGATGTATCAGAAACAAATCATACAAGGGGAAAGTTTCTTCTTGTGATGCAAACAGATGGGAACCTGGTGCAATACCCATTAGATTCAATAGAAAGGGAAGCTGCTTACTGGAATACAGAAACAGCTGGAGCTGGAGATAATGTGACCCTAAATCTGGATAGCAATGGGACGCTTTACCTGCTAAATGCTACCGCGTTGCTTGTGAAAAACATTACTGAAAAGGCTAGTGTCTCAGGTAAACCCATCTACCGTGCAACAATTGATGCAGACGGAATATTTCGATTGTATTCACATAGTTTCAACCCATTCGATAATTGGTCAATCCAATGGTCATCCTCAGAAAATAAATGTGATCCCAAAGGCTTCTGCGGGGTTAATAGTTACTGCACTCTGATGGATCGGGATCCTGTATGTCAATGTCCTCCTGGTTTCAATTTCATTGACCAGGGACAGAAGGACTTGGGATGCCACAAAAATTACAATGTAGATGCCTGCACCAGAAAGAGTGAGCAAATGTTTGATTTTTACGAACTGACCAGTGTAATCTGGGAAGACGATGCATATTCCAGTCTCTCATCTGTAGCAAAAGATGCTTGCAGAGAGGAATGTTTTAGAGATTGTAACTGTGAAGCTGCCGTTTATCAAATTGAAAATCAATCGTGCAAAAAGCTAAAGTTGCCGTTAAGATTTGGGGAAAGGGAATTAAGTGGTCAAGTAATAACTCTTCTAAAGATTGGTGCTGCCCTCGCAAGAGGAGGGGAAAGAAAGCAGAGAGAGCTGCGAGTGGACTTCCTGATCATTAGCATAGCGTTGGCGTGTTTGACACTTGCATTTACCGTTATAGTAGCGGTCGGTGTTCTTAAATATAGGTCTCGTGTTCGAGAATACAAGAGGGTTTTGAATGTTGGAAATAATGGAGTTGTTGAAGATGTTACTTTGAGATCATTTACATTTGACGAGCTCAAAGGTGCCAGTAATAATTTCGTGGATGAAATTGGGAAAGGAGCTTACGGGACAGTTTTCAGAGGGGTCATATCCAATGACAAGAGAATTGTAGCCATCAAGAGACTAGAAAAAGTGGTGGCTGAAGGAGAAAGGAATTTCAGGAATGAAATGAAAGCAATTGGGAAAACTCATCATAAGAATCTAGTGCAATTGCTCGGTTACTGCTACGATGGGACTAATAGACTACTAGTGTACGAGTACATGAGAAATGGTTCACTTGCAGATTTTCTCTTCAAATCCAACTTAAAGGTAAATTGGGAAGGAAGAATTGCAATCATATTGAACATAGCCAGAGGAATTTTCTACTTGCACGAAGAGTGTGAAACTCAGATCATCCACTGCGACATCAAGCCTGAAAATATCCTAATGGATGACAAAGGGTCCGCGAAAATTGCAGATTTTGGACTAGCCAAGCTATTGATGCCTAACCAAACAAAGACATATACTGGAATCAGAGGAACAAGGGGATATGTTGCTCCTGAGTGGCATCGGAACTTGCCTATAACCGTGAAAGCAGATGTATATAGCTTTGGAATAATGTTGTTTGAGATCATTTGTTGTCGAAGGAGTGTGGAGGCTGATGTTCCAGAAGACGAAGCAGTTCTTGCACACTGGGTGTATGACTGTTTCAAGGCTAATGAACTGGAGAAGCTGGTGCAAAATGAAGAAGTGGAAATGAGTAAGCTTGAGAGGATGGTCAAGGTGGGGCTATGGTGCACCCAAGATGAACCATCATCGCGACCATCAATGAAAAAGGTTATACTGATGCTGGAAGGGACAGTAAACATACCAGACCCTCCACTTCTTAGTTCCTTTGTTAGCTCCCCGTAGGCCATGCCAGACCTCCGTTGCGAGTGTTGAAATTGGTCAAAAATTGTTAGTTGTTAGCGTCGTTAACTAATTATTTCATCAGAATTTTCTGTCGGTGTTTTTCTGTATTTTATATCAATGACATGATTGCTGTCATATGTATATATCATGATATATGTTACGAGAAGTGAACTCTTACTTAACGAGTTGTGAATTATACCAAAATTCGGGATTTGCATCTCTTGTTTGAAATGTTCTAGATTTAAAGTGATGAATAATTTTTTGTTTTGTTTGAGCAAAGGGAAGAAAAAATGTCTAAGCAGAAACCGACTAAGCCTGTTAGGACTTCAACAAGGATGTCTACGGAAAAGACGGTAGCCACTCTTAAGCCAGCTAAAGAAAGCTCCTACGCCTAAGAGCTCCGACCAAGAGAGTAAAGTTGAACAGTGTCAAGTCACCAGCGACGTAGGGCCCGTCCAACAGAATAAAGGAAGAGAGAAAAAGGACATGTAGGGTAGTTTTGTAAATTTGAGAAAAACAATTTATATATCAAGGCATGAGCATTTTTAGTCTTTTAATAAAATCGGTTTAGGTATTAGGGTGGAGTATTAATTTTTAATATTAACGGATCAAAGAGTGAATTATGATCAAAATATAAAAGAGAAATGTATTTTATCTTAGAAATTTTCTTATTTTACATTTACAAACATCAAACGTCCATTTAAAATATTCACTTAGTCGACAAAAAAAAAAGGAATTACCTGTAAAATTAAGACGTGGCTATACAAGATTGGTCCATAGCAAAAGATTTATCAAGGTTAACGCACCGGAACACAAGTAGACACGTGACTTGCGAGTCGTGACTCACTTGTACGAGTCCAGAAACTCAGCGGCTGTCAGATTTGTGCTTTGTGCTTTGTGCTTAGAACCAAAAAAAACCCCGACGAACGTAAGCAAGGGAAAAAGAAAAGCAGATAGCCAGAGCTAGGGGTTTCTCAATTCCAGGCCTAGCTCTTTCTTTTTCTTTCAATTAATTCCTCTTATTTTCCTCTTGCAATAGGTAAATTTTTGTTACAGCTTTTGCTGAGGAGATTGAATGGCGGACGGTTACTGGAGTCGGCGACAGGCAACTCCTCCGATGTTGTCTTCCGGTGGGGTGCTTAAACGACCTCGTCATGATTACGGTACACTCTTTTCTTTGTCGATATAAATGTTGTTAGTTGCGTCTATCTTTGTTTATTTGGCATAGTATTTTGTTCAATTTTGTTTAGTTTTAGATGCTTTAATTAGTTTAGAAAAACTCGAAAATTGGCGATTGGATTGGTAGAGTTTTGTTTGAACTCTGTGTCCGACAAAAATTATTGCTTTGAAATTAGGGTTTTTTTTTTTTTTTGTTTAGTTAGATGTATATTTGGATAGCCACGCTTTAAAATGGAGACTTTTCTTAACAACGAAAACCAATGCCATGGAAAATTTTTAATGCTTTATTTCGAAATAATGGGTTCAATATTCAATATAGAATCTGAGTTTTAAGGTATCATTTGGTTGTCAGATAAGAAATCGATGATCATTGAGCACCACACCACTGTAATAGTATTGTAGAGCATCCTTAACCTGTTAAGGTTTTTTTTAACCTTTGTAAGCTTGCATTTCACTTCCTTTCCGTTGTTTTGTTTCCCCTCTTTTCTTTTCTCATTTAAATGGACATTTGTTGCACAAATTTCTTTGTTCATATTCAATTACTGTAATTATTGAAATTGCCTGTGCATAGTTTTTAGTTGGAAAGAGTTGCCATTTTCATCTTAGCTAGCTGCCCATCACTTTCCGGAACATTATTTTTGTCTTTCCATTTTGTTTGTAATGAATTTAAGAAATATGATCGTTTCATGTCTGCATCTATTGTAAAAGTTATTAGTTGCTTTAAAAAATGATTATCAACTAAGTCTTATATTTTCAACTTCACAGATGCCCCACCTTCTGGGCTGCATGCAGCTCATGAGATGCATAACTATTTAGCAAGAGATGATGATCGAGGTGGACATCTGTCTCTGAAGGACACAAAAACAATTGGATCGGCATATGATCGCTATCTTCAGAGCACGGTACCATCTTGAACCTTTACCCATGCTTCTTTATCCCCCGCCATGCATCTCCCTTTTTTTGTCTTCTAAAGCACTCATCAAATTGCTTTTGAAGCAACTTTCTTCTTTTACTTCTGGAGAAGCTAGTACATTTGGTGGGATGGGAAGGGCTGTTGGTGGCGCAATGTCTGCTCGTCCTGTTGCCGATCCTCCTTTGATGGGTCGTTCTGGATCTGCTGCTCTAGATCTGGCACCAAATGGTCGAAATGTTGGTTATAGTGGTCAACTTCTAGTGGATGGAATGACTAGGCCAGGCCAGGATACCATACCTCTACCTCCAGATGCTTCCAATACTCTATATGTTGAGGGACTTCCTCCAGACAGCACGAAGAGGGAAGTAGCCCGTATCCTATTTAGTGATGTTGTGCTTGATAAGATATGTTGGCATGTGCTTTTATGATGCCATACTTTAACTCAATTACATTGTTTCCTACTGATGGCTCAAATTCTTTGACCGAAGCTTTAGATATCTTTCGTCCTTTTGTGGGATATAAAGAAGTACGACTTGTGAGCAAAGAATCTCGACATGTAAGTGGACTAGGCATTTGCTAATACTTAATTTATCTCCTATAGCACAACTACCTTTGTTGTTTTGTTACACGTGTGAAATTGTCTTAAGTGGGTTGTTTTGCTGACTGCTGAAACATAATGCATCGGTTGTGCAGCGTGGTGGAGATCCTATTATCCTTTGTTTTGTTGATTTTTCGAATCCCGCCTGTGCAGCAACTGCAATGAGTGCCTTGCAAGGTGATCCATTCTTTCCATTGATTTTACATTTATTAATGGTAGTTTATAACTAGACAACGATACATGTTTTTTGTTTCAAAAACAATGATTGGAAACAATAATGAAAACTCAATACATGAGATTAATTTTGGTTACTTCTTCCTGCTTTGTGTTTTTCTCTTATTTTTTTTTGTTGCTGGTTCTTGTGTGTTTGTGTGTCCTTAAAGATTTTGCCATGCATGGGTGATGAGGAAGTGATATTATGCAGGCAGAAAATATGTATGCTAGATTTTCCTCCGAAAGGAATGCTATCAGTGAGTACATGCAATTACAAATACAAGTTTGAACCCTGATATGCCATACTTTGAGCCCATCATTCATTGGCTGATATGTGCATCTGAGTTGATGCTTTACTCAACTTCCTAAGTAAGTGGACTTTATTGTTGGTTATGCAGGTTATAAAATGGATGAACATGATCCTGATTCTAACTACTTGAGGCTGCAGTTTTCTCGGTACCCAGGCCCTAGGTCAAGTTCTGGAGCTCGTGGAAGGAGGTGAATGTCACATTCTGGAGACAACTACGCTGTCTTCATATCCATGTTTAAGCCAATTCTTATGGCTCACATCTTTTCTATATATGGCAGGGTTTTGAGGAGTGGGCATTTTAATTAAATAGGATGTTAAAAACCTGCAATTTAAATTGCTTGATCCCACTAACTATTAGCACTAGAGATGCACAAAAGTTTAGGAGAGTGAATATCAAGCAATCCTTGAATTGCTTGCACATTTCATGAAGCTGTGTTGTACAATAACTTCTAGATGAAAGAGCTCCTTTTTGTGGTAGAGTCATGGTAGTACTTGCATTTAATGTTTCAAATATGGGAATTACCATTTTTGCACTTTTAAAGCTTGGATATTGATTAGTCTAGGCCAGAGCTATTCTGTCTTATATTCAGCTGATTATATGGCTGTATGCCATGTTCATCACCATATATGGCTTGGTGTAGCTAATGGATTTGTATGAGTAATGTTTATTATTGTGGAAGTTAATTCTTTTCTTTGGAGTTGATTATTTGCATTGTGATAATAGATGCTTTGCTATGTTGAGTTTGTGAAGCTACTCAGCTTTACAGGCTTCTGGTGTTATTTAGATAACCTCCCATCTTAATATGGTTTTTTTAGCCACAATGATGAATTTTGCCTGTCGATGTAATTTCACCAGTTTGGTCAATGTGGTTGGTATGATGTGCAGCTGATATGAATTCAGTATGATTGTCTATGCTCACTGTTAAGGCACCAGGGAAGATGATGGGACTAATGTTGTATGTAATGTAACTAGCAAATCAACACCCTTAATAATATTTTTAGGGTCATTAAGAAAAAGCAATGCATCTATGCAAACTGTGTTCATCAAATCCCTGATTGCATCTTGTGAAGCAGCATTGGCTTGCCTCCAGATGGTAAATTGGTGGGAAACATGGTTTGGCAATAGCATCCTAGTTTCTCTGTACAAGGTTATCATCCTTATTCAGAAATGTGCTGCCTATTTATTTGTGCAAATCGCTGGTCCAATCAATTGCTGAAAAAGCCAATTGTTCTATTCTATCTAAGCCTCTTACCCGGTAACTTATACATAAAGCAATGGGGGTCCAAAATTTTCTGAAGACTCAACCTTTGGCCCATCACAGTTGATGTAGGACCACGGAAAATGAAATTACTAATTTTTAGGTATTGATGAGTCCTTTTCTGTCTAGGAGAGAGAAAACTAGAAAGATGTAACCTTCAATTTTCATCTTCTTTAATTTCGAATTTTTCCTAATAACCATTAAATCGAGTTAAAGATGTTGCACGACTTGTATAATAGAGCTCATAAGTTAGTTAATTAACCAAATCTTTATTTAGTTTTTTGAGTTTGCTTAGCACCTTGATCGGAGAGACAGGGGTCGACAACGCAGTAATAGGCCAGTAGGCCCATATGACAAACTATAATCAAATTTGTTTTCCCTATCTCCTAAAGCAAAAGCCCATGTGGGACAGCAAAGATTAAATTGCTTGCGAGTACAATCTTTTATGGACTTTGGAAGCTAGTGAGTGAAAGGAGGAGAAAGAGAAAAAAGATGAAAGGTATTAAGTCCAGATTAATCTGCTTGTCCCATTCACTGTGATATTATTACATCAACTTTTTCATCCTTTGCATGGCATCTTCAATGGAATATACCTGTCATCCTTCTTACATTACCCCACGTGGATATTTAAATCGATTGATGGGAAATTCTCAGTTGTACACTTGTACTAGTTTCCAAAATCAAAACTGATTAAAAATTCTACCCCAAAACTAGACAGTGTGAGCGAAACTGTGAAACAATCAGTTAGATCGATCAATCACGTTTGGTTGCTGAGAAAATGCGAACAAAACATGCCCTGCCACCCAATCACGCTAATGATCACAAGCAAAAAACCAAAAAAAGGAAACTCCCCTAGGCTCTCTCTCGGCATATATAGCTTTAGGAAAATTGTTGGACACCTGTCAGATAAAATGACCCATGTAGGGTATCAATTAAACAAAAAAAAAAACAAAGAAAGAGTTCTCACTGTTTTGAACGTATTCTTTCGCCGCTTGCTAGAGCCAAAGGGTTGAAACTAGCAGATCAATTTTGAGTTCAGATTCCTAGCTAGGAATGAACAATATTCAACGTCATGACAGCCGTCCAATTTCTTGATCAGCAATATTAGATAAATTCGATTGATGGTAACAGCATAACTAGTCAAAATTCCGTGTTGCATCATATCCTCATTCCTGTGTCGGTGACGGTTTTTTTTTATTTTTATATAGCAATTGAATGCGCAGCATTAAATTTGCAAGAGGTTAATTTAATAAAGTAGAAGTTAGTAGACATGGGTAGTTTGACAAGCAAAGGATTTCGGTATTAGATTAATGTTTTTCCTGAGACTGGGGTGATGAAGTTAGATGACATTGACCATAGCTTGCTTTGTAATTGATTCTTTTCTTTATTGAAATTTATTGTGATTGTAATTGTAATTTTTATTTATAAAATACAATTTAATTTTAAAAAAAAAGGGGTCTTTTATGCTTGTGCGTGTGCATACATATAGATGACTTGTTACTTCGAGAATGAAAGGAAACAGGGTTGCTGTTCTTCGTCTGAAAAGAAGGAACAAAAACATGGGCGGCTATTGTCTCATCTCTGTTTTTTTTTCCTTTCTTTCTTTTTACTGCTCATTTGAAGAAAAGAGCCAAGTCGCTGTTAATGATAAAATCAAGATATGACTCCTTTTTATTGTGAATAAAGCTTTGGGTGCGGGGGTGGGGGAGGGAATCAATGGCAAAGCTATAGCAGCACTGTTTCTCTCTTTTCCTTCACTCTTCCCAGCTTTCTCCTTGCTTTTTTATTATTGGTAGTATCTTTTAGTTACATGCCAAGATTGACAACTAAGGAATAATGAATATGAAAATCAATAGGAAGTTGCGTTGTCTCTTTCTTTCTGATCTCTTTCAAATTATTTGTAGCTTTTAAATAACAGGCCAAGGTTGACACCTCCAAAGATAATCAGAAGTAGATCTAAAACTGACGCAAAGCGTAGACTATTTTAGAGACACCGATGATTGGATCGTGGATTAATGCAAAATAAATAGATTTTACCAGTTGAGCATTGTTTGATTGGCAAAAGAGGACTTGGGATTAAAATTAGATATTAGAATGCTAATCATTGAATTAAAAGTGATTAATTAGCTCATGGTTCACCAGATGCATTGCATCGTTTTTGGAAATGAGAATTTACCAAACCAAAAGAAAACTAACAAAATGATAACTTATTTAATTTTGCAGTTGAAATTTCCATATCTATCTTCAATTCATGTTTTGCCAAATCCAAAATGTCAAGAATATATATCTTGGAAAAGGTCAAAATACTTTAACAGTCTCTATACTTATATATTTTCTTCATTTTAATCTCTCAAACTCAAAATCGTAACAATTTTAATTTTTTAATTTTGAGAACTTTTTCAATTTAATCTCTTTAATATTTTCTTTCTTATTTGTTACTTAACTAAGCTCTTTGTTTTGTCTTTATAGATGTTTCTTTCTAGCTACCTTTATTACCTGTCACATTCATCAGAAAACTAAACCTAGAACCAGGGTTTAGTCTTTTATATTTTTTTTTAAGTTAGTAAGGTAATTAATTAGGATGAGTTAGTCCAAATTAAGAAAAATGTACATTGACTGAATCTAAAGCCCCTCCCGCAAGTCATTATAATTATTACTACATTGAAAATAAGGAGATTAGTTATGACTATCATAATCGAAACAAGACAAGCCTACGTTGTCTAAACATTAATTTATGAGACATTTTGGAATATACGGACAAATATCACAAGTTATAATTAGTCCAGCATTTAGAACAATTTTTCTTCACAGGTGGCACCCCATATTCTCCACACCTTTAGCGTAAACCATTTGATAAAATGACATTTGTTATGTAATGCTAACCACTCTACATCTGTCCAATTCGATTTTGAATTGTCTACTTTGGCTAGCTTTCGTCTCTAACCAACTAACTCTCCCTCCATGCCATCTTTAGTTTGACGGTTCAAAAGAATAACTCCTTGTTAGGTGAAGTTAATATTATTAATAGAAAGAAAGTACAAATACAATCTCACATACAACATGACTTGATCTGGTTTATTAGGTAAAAGTTAGGGTTAGCTGCATGAGAATTGACAATGATTTGTAAAAGTAAGTTTCTCTAGCTGTTTCTAGAGAAAGGAAAAGAAAAGAGAGGATAGAAGCAGTCGAACATAGATAAAACAAGTCTTATTCTTCACCTACTCTTCATCCGTACTCAAGTGATAAGGAAAGTGCAACTCTTGGTGAATTGTGAAGCTCAAGCTTCATCCTATCTAGCTAGGTGGCTCTAAGACCTTTCCTTCCATGGCTTTTTTTTTTTTTTAACAATTTAATACCATTGCCGTCGTAATTACCACTCCATATAAGTCAAGTTATCTGAAATTATCGATCTAATTAAAAATAATATCACTAATAATTTTTCTCAAATTATCGATCTGATTAAAAACATATCATTTAACTTATGAATTGTACTGTTCATTAACAATACATGATGTCTTCCCCATCTTCCTAGATGAATTACAAACTTCCAAAGCAACTTTAATAGCTATTAATTTTACAAAATAATTATTTTTGTCAGTTACAGAATGGTATGCATGGCAAAATTCCTAGTATAAAATGCATAATAATTTACAATTAAATTTTACAGGTATAGTTTTAATTTAAAATGCACTTTTCACTGATGCTTGCTTAAGTTTTATTTTGTATACTAAAACAAAATTAGTTTTTTAGTGATAAAAAAAAACCTTAAAAAGTCAATTTAAATCAAGTAATTATAAATTGAAGTGGTAGAGATTTAAGTAAAAGATTCGATCCATTATCACTTCTTGCTTTGAAAGCAGCACTCTGTTTTTTTCTTCAAGAGGAAAAACTTTATTGTTTTTTTATGAAAATGATTGCTACTTTTTCTTTTTCTTATCTTGTCTTATGAAAATCACTACTTAATCTTCGAATCATGATTGAATTTGATAGAGGCTAATCATTAATCGTGTATTAGCTATTGCGTACACATCAGTAGCTGGTCTTTTTCAAGCAATTAATGTATAAGCAAATAAATTAATCTAATCTGAACTTATATTAGAGATTCTAATTAAGTTGTGGTTAGATAGAACTGGGGAAGGGTTTCCTCTGCCGGTGATTAAATTAATCAAATGGTAACTAATTAAGCATATGTTATATAAACGTGATTTGTGTTGCTTTCATACTTAAAAGTTTGTACATATATATGTTCTAGTTGGATTAATGGTATAATAGCTTAATTGGAACAAAAATAAGATAAAATTATTTAAATTATCTTCATTAATACCATAATTAACTGTAGATGCTGAATTGATATTAACAAAATTGGACTTTATTCGTTATTCGCCCACAGGAAACAAAATTTTAGGAAACGACAAAGTGGAGACTGGAGAA